TCGCAGATATGTTCACTTGCACAGAGAACAAGCTACTTGGATGAAAGACTAAATGAAGAGCGTTGGTGTTCAGAACCTCAAGACTTTCGTTCTCACCATCTTTGACCTGATAACCCACTAAGTCCAGAAGAAGGTAGTTCAGGTGCAAGTGAGCAATTGGGAGCAGATCCAATTGTCGGAACTTCGTAGCGCTTAATCCCAAGAAACTCAGGTGCATCAAGTTGCCAAATTCCTTATACACGGGCAGCAGGTAGAAGTCGTTGAATGACAGGTCTAAATGCTTCAGGCTCACTGCAGGGCAGCCAGAAATGTTTCGCAACTGATTGTGAGAGACATCCAGATATTCTAAATCCGGGCTGAACTTGAACACACCAAAATCAAGTGTCTGGATTCTGTTATGAGAGAGCCTCAGAACCCTCAGCTCCAGCAGAAAGCGGACATCAGACACCTGCAGCTCGGGGATAGAGTTTTGAGACAGATTTAAGGATTTTGTTCCTGGCGGCAGGTCTTTGGGGACACGAGTTAGGTTCCTGTTTGAATAGTCTACTGCAGACTCAAGTTCATCAGAGAACTGGATCGTGATTCCAACTATGAAGGCCAGGATGCAAACAAAATGAAAACTTCCCGCAGTGGGTTCTCTATCTCGGGTCATGATGAAATGGTTAGCCCAAAGGGACTGTACCATTTGTTTCATAACATTTTTACTTGAGTTCAAGTCCTAGAAATAAGAGAGACTTTAAGGTGAATGAAGATTAGAGAATGGCTTTTAAGCTTCCACTTCTCAGAAACTCGGATATTTCCTCTCTAGCAGTCATCACTAGCCCGTTTTTATGTGAAATTTTCTCAGTCTGTAGCTACAGGAGACAATATGAACTTTTAATCAAAGTACCATGATTAAGTGTTTTTGCTAGTCTGGGGGGGCTAAAGGATTCAGGGGAGGGGCATCACCTTTGTTCCTTACTCAGAACTTTCTCAGGACTGGAGCAACCTCCTTGGCAGTGATTGTCAAAAAACAAAAATTGAGGACAAATATACTAGCTGCAGTCACATGAGCCAGAGGTAACAAAGAATAGACACACCAAAAGGCCAGAGAAGTAAGAGAAAGGGAGAATGGATATGTAGACACCAGGAAAGTGGGGCGAGGAGAGACAGGAAGAGGGGACAGAGGCAAGGAAGGGAAGGCAAAGAGGTGTAGAGGCATCAACACAGATACACATGCAAGAATCCATATCACTCGGGCTCTGAATTGCATAGAAAACTATCTGAGCCACAGAGGGCCAGAAGCCAGCCAGAGACTGTACTGGGCTTTGAAGTCAAAGAATTCTCCACCAACAACTTAATTCTCACAGTGGCATCCTGCCTTCCTACCCTCACCTATCCCGTTACAATCGCATTGACAACTCAAAGTCGGCAGACACATTTCAGGGAAACAGGAGCATTCGGGTCCTGGCAGAGGTTCATTTCATTGGTTCTTTTGATGCCAGAGATTTATTTTTAGTCCCTAGATCTCAGCTCTTTGACACGTTTTTCACAAAAAGGAGCATGCATTTCTCCGACAACTATTAGCCTAGAAGCTATAGAGTGAAGGGAATGAGATTCAGCAGGTGACAATCAGAAGCTTGGAAGTTCCGACAGTTCACACAAAATGGGAGAAGAGAGAGAACTATGTCAAAACACACCGGAGGAACCAGCCACAGTAATGCAGGGTAATCTGCCCTAGGGAAGCCCAGGCAAGGGGATTAAGAGTTTCAGGCCAGTCTTGGCTATATAGGGAGAGCATGTTTCAGGAAGAAAAGATAAAGCCCATGGAAGAATCTAGAAGGTGTGTGAGGCTAAAGTATGTCAGCAATAACTATTTTTTTCCAGAGCCCAGAAGGCCTCATGTGTATCTCATCAGATCACAGACATTGATGTTCATATCAATGACATTGAGTGACAAGAAAAGTCTACCTGAGTGAGACACGGAGGCAGACACCCAAGCCCCCAGACCTCGTGTTTCAGGGAGGACAGATGACTGAGACTCCCTGGCTGGCTCCACCCTCTTTTGGGTTCTATTCTATACGTAAAATTATTTGTGAGCTTGGGGCACAAAAGCAGACGTTTCTTAAGTAGAGCCTTGTATCGCAGAATAACTGGGAGAGGCTTCATCTAGCAGCTGACGGGAGCAGTTAGAGAGACATCAGGCAGAGCTCAAGGAACCCTGCGGAGGAGGGGGAGGGAGAAGGATTGTAAGAGCCAGAGGTGTCAAAGACACCAGGAGAACATGGTCCACAGAATCAACCAAGCAAGGTTCATAGGGGCTCACAGAGACTGAAGCGACAATAAGGGAGCCTGCATGGCTCTGAGCTGGATCCTCTGCATATATATTATGGCTGTGTAGTTTGGTGCTCTTGTGAGTGGAGGCTGCCTCTGACTCTTTTGTCTACTTTTGGGACCCCTTTACTTCTACTGGATTGCCTGGTCCAGCCTTGATACGAGGATATGTGCCCAGTCTTACTGTAACGTATTACGCCATTCGGTTGATATCTCAGAGAGGTCTGCTCTTTTCTAACGGGAAATGGAGGAGGAGTGGTTCTGGGGGAGAGGGATTGGGAGGAGTAGAGGGAGGGGAAACTGAGGTTAGGATGTAATACATGCTGTGCTAAGGTAGGTAGATAGGGAAGAGGGGTGGATCAGGCAGGAATTGCGGGGGGGTGGTGCTGCATACAATCAAAATACATGGTACGACATTCTCAAAGAACTAATAAATTAGAAAAAATTAAAATCCACTTGAAATATACCCAAAATAAAATGTTATATGTAAATAAGCATGCTTGTATTAATGATAGTATTAATACATACATAAAGAGGGCCGGCATTTTCAACACGACGGTAGAGAATTGATATTCATAGATGAAGTCTCATCCTACAAATTCTTCTGACAGCTTGTGTGTCTTGTTCAGGGGATCTGTCATTCAGCCGCCATGTGACCACGAGGACACATGTGAGTCCTGGAAGTTGCTCAAAACCTCAAGCAGTTCTTAGGGTACGCATTCTGAGAAGCAGCGCTGAACTTCAGTGTATACGTGGTTGAGGGGGTGGGACAACCAGAAGATCTCCCTGGAGAATTCAAGAGTTTCTGTCTTTCTAAAGGAAGTGGGAATGGACAGGCGTAAGAGTTATACATCAAACAAAAAGTGAAAGAAAAAAAGGAACAGTCAACACAAGCCCTATTTCAAAAACCACAAAGGTGGCGGGTGGAGGGAGTCGCTGTGAAAATTAAAGCTAGGAGAAGGGGAAGGGTAGTTAGTAGCGGTAAGCAAGGGCAAGCATGAGAAGAATTTTGTCATCAAGTCAACACAAACACAAGAGAGACTTGGCTTTGTCAAACTCTGGGTGGAGGAAGGGTGCTGGACTCAAGGTCACAGAGTTTAGGAATCCGGTCTCAGGCACTTCCACCACTTAAATCACGTTTGTTCAGTGGGCACGGGGCACGGTAGAAACTAGCGCTGGGGATACGAAATCACATGGGAGCGATTGAATTAGCCTTTCCTCCACAATGCTCACGATCGGTGAGAGGTACCGACCAATTAAAGATCATAGTACTAGGTGACTGGGGAATGAAACACTGTACACCAGTACAGACGGTGTGCTGTCGCGTCTACAAACAACTACAAACTCCGTGAATGGAGAAAACAGCCCAAACCAGGGGGGAATAAAACCACACGAGTCTGCTCACTTCCTTGGCTACGACTGAAATGCCAGCTGTTTTCTGTCTAGCATTAAGTCACACGTTTGTCTTAGGTGGTTCAAACGATAGCCACACTTCAAAACACCAAACACAAAATCGGTTTGCAAAACCTTCAAAGAAAGGTTACCTATTTCCTATACTGCCGTTACCATTTTCTTTCTCATTTAAAGCGTCAACACAATAATTTGAAAAATCCAATTTGAAAAATCCAGAAAAGCCTTCTTACTCACCAAGACTTCCTTCTCGGAAAAGAAAGTAACCATCTGAAGTGCTCTGAAAAAAATATGAGCTTGACCAAGCCCAGTCCTTACCGCGGGAACAGCGGTACGTGAGTGGTTTGGCGCCATCTCTTGACCCTCGGTGGAATTACCCCACGTATAAAATCGTTCCAGTCTAAAACAGCTTATAAATCCTTGGAGCAAATTATGAACGTTTTGTAATTACTAGAAATATTTATCTAAGGCACGTTTTCAGGCTAAATTTTAAATTGCTGCCAGGACAGAAAGTTATGAGACTCGATTCTCTGCTACAATAATCCTTCACATTTCCCCCCCCCCCCCCAGAAATGCCTGTCATTCAAGCACGGTTGGAGCATCTTGGGAATGACAGAGATACTTTAAAAATAAAACAAGCTTAAGCTCATCACTTGCCTTTTAGGAAAGTCAATTTTCAAGAGAAGTTTTGTGACTGATACACATTTAGCCTGGCTTCGCAGTCTAACAAACATTGGATACTATTGAGTGTTCTAATTTTTTTGTTTTGTTTTGTCTTTGTTTTTTGAGGCAGGGTTTCTCTGTAGCTTTGGGGCCTGTCCTGGAACTAGCTCTTGTAGACCAGGCTGGTCTCGAACCGACAGAGATCCTCCTGCCTCTGCCTCCCGAGTGCTGGGATTAAGGGCGTGAGCCACCACCGCCCAGCTGCAAGTTCTAATTTTTCATCCTGGAAGAGCAAACAATGCTGGAATCCTTCTAGATCAGACTAGAAATTAGTTTTCTAAAGACTGTTTAGAATTTGAGAATGCTTCCAGTCCAGGCTGGAAGGCAAAGAGAATGAAAGCCAGCCCCTTCAGCCGGGTGTTCCCGTACTGAGCCTTCTCACTTGATTAGCTTGTGCAAAGAACTGAATACAGGAGCTAAATAAGCGTCCCCTAATTGATCTACTGCCAAAGCAAGTGAATACTGTACGTAGGACAATGCTGAGCATAGGAAGAAATTACTTCTACTTTCAGGAGAAAGGGAAGAGAAAGATCTTACTGTTCATCCTTACTCACCAAACATAAGAGGAAGTCTGCTCGGAACCCGGGAGGCTCAGCAAGGAGGGAGGGAGGCAAGGCTGGCAGCTTGTGAGCAGCTGATGGTAGGGGGGGTCACCAGGAGAGGGGACACAGGCGTAGGGGAGAGGAGCCAGAGACAGGGAGGGATTGCAGGCAACACTGGGCCTGCTTCTTAAGAGAACACATGATACATATGTATACACACAAACGTGTGGGCACACACACACACGCAGGCGCACACGTACACATCACTGAAAACTGGTCACATGACTCATGTCTCAACTGTATTGCATAATAATGTTGACATTTGGGGAGCCAGACACTTTTCTTGCTGGGGTTGCTGCAATCCTCAGAAGCGCCTTCAAGGGGAAGACCAAACCAGCCAAATTCGTGTAACAAGGAAGAGCCCACATGACAGCGCAATGAGCAGAGGCGAGAACAGTGAGCTGAGTTCCTCGCGTGGCTACTTGCGAGCTGTGAGGCTTTGGCTAAGTTGTGTGACCTCGCTGAGGCTGTCTTTGCCTGCAGAATGGTCAGAATTGTGACTTTCAGGGATGATGATGAACATCAGGTGGCTGGACCAGGGACCACCCAAAAGAGAAGGCAGGAGAGTAAGGGGATTTGAATCCTGTGAAAGCCGTGTTTTTAAGTGGGGAAGTAGGGAGATCAGAGGACACTGAGGACAAATGAAGCAAAGCAAGCTGCAGCACCACGGCCTGGAATGCATGGACAGGGCTTGTCTTCCCGCCAGCTTTCCTCGGAGCTCTTCACAAGGACCCATCAAGTTCCCGCCAACCCTCAGAAAGGTGCTGGGGGAGAGGCGCTTTCATCACCCCCACCCAATGCCCGTTCCGGAGTAGCTAGGAAACGGATGGCCAGGGGTGGGTGGCCCCAAGACTGTGGGCCAAGGCCCAAGACTCACATGAAGAGGCACAGGCAGACACCCATTGGACTCGGACATAGAGCCGATGAATGCCTGCAGCCAGGGGCTGGAGGGAGCACCACCCTGAGTTCATTTCCAATTCTCTGACTTCTGGAACCTTAAGCAGAATACATTGCTATTGTTTTAAGTCACATGACTGAGGATAACTTATTATGTCAGCCACAGGAGATTAATACCAGGATTGCACACATATCCTGGAACAGGCATAATTCTTTCTCAGAGGTTACTTCAGAACTCTTGTCTTCCAGCAACAGAGCTAAGAACCATTACCCTTGTATGACCCTCTCATCTTTAAAAAAAATGCCATACACATATGTCATTTTTTTGAGATAGTACCTCACAGGTGGGTCTCAAATTTGCAATCCTCCTGCCTCAGTTCCCCAGTGTTGACATTGTAAGCATGTGCAGACTTTATGTTATTTTATTTTTAAAAATGCCACAGTGGGATAAATAAGATAACATGGCCCGAGGCCAGCTAATATCCTGTCCTGTCCCAGTTCAGACAGAAGCAAAACATGAAGTACTGATATTAAAGCTAACATTTGCTATTGATTTTGTGGGGGAGATAAGCCACGGCTGTGTTTAAAAAAATGTATTTGTAGTACATACAACCATATGATAGTATCCAAAATATATAAAGTTTCCAACAAATCGGTATAAATGTGACTGAGAAACCCAAAGGGGAGGGCAAGGTAAGCCAAGGATATAAACAGACGGATAGCAGAGGAAGTCGAAACGGGTCTGACATGGGGATGTACACAACCAAGAATCCTCGCTACCCTTGGGAAAACACGGATTTAGATACCCCTGGTTGTATATCACTGCCCACTCCTGAGACAGACACAAATCCAGACCCTTGGTGATGCCAAGCCTGAGTGAGAATGATAGGAAATGGGAGCTTGCCAACATGTCCAGGGGCCTGATTTGTTTATAAACGGTCAGAGGAGCCAGGCTTTGATGCCACGTTTGAAGCTCTTCTGATTCTATCGATGCCGTAGGAGGATCTAGGAGCTGAGACCTGTACACTACCTGGTGTCTTGTTTCCTAACAGAGCACTCCCAGGGGCCTGGAGGTGTTTGTCCTTGACTTTCTTGCTCATTGCCTCTGTCTTTCACTCTGACACCTGAAGCCAATCCTTGAAATCAGTTTTCCTTGATGTTTCAGATTTGGTGTTTTGTTCACTAAGTTGAGCCCCACCAGCCCCTGGCTAATTCCAGGGTGTTCGGCAGTTACGCAGAAAACCCCTGATTATATCCCAGATACTTTTAATACCAGTGGCTGCGCTCAAGCTCCAGCCACCATCTGACTTTTTCGGCGCTCTGATTTCCATTTCCACCTCAAGTCCTTCCCTCTGATGCCAGCAATTCCCCAGCCTTGCTGTGTCCGTCTGCATTCCCACTGGGCTACCTTATGCCCTCTTCTCAGTCCACGTTAAGTCGCTCTTTTCTCTGGACCATGGAGCCCAAGCTACTTGAGGGAGTTGGGAGTAAACATCTGTGCCACCCAGAGCTGGTCTCATGTAAAATGCATACTGTGTCCCAACCTGAAGGGGTGCGATTGTATCAGCTTCCGCACCCTGGCCCAACTCTCTCCTCTACTTTCTCACGCTCCACGCTCGCCCTCCTCTAACACTCCGACCTTCCTCCCCTTCATTCTTCATTCTTGGCTGATGAGGCTTCATACCACACAAGGAAAACAGACCTGTCCATAGGGCAGGGCCCTGCCCTCTGCGAAGCTCTGCCATCCTGGCTGCTCCCTCAGCAGAGGACTCTCTCTTGCCTTGTCTCCTCAGGAAGTCGCTCTCGCCGGTGTCCTCTCTCTGCCTTAGTGCCAGCATTGTTCTGCACTCAGCGTGGCGCTTTCTCTAGAAAGCAAAACCCTTTCTTTAAATGCACAGCCTCCTCATCCTTGTTTCTCCTCACACCGGAACACAGCTGGTATTTTTCTCGTCACTCTCACAGTTATTCTCTCTCTATTCCCTTAAACAGACACCGTTCGGGTTTCCTTCCCTGCTGCTCAAGAGAGAGAACGCTTTTCAAGGTCATAAACGGACTATCATAATGTCCAACACAGTGGTCGGGTTTCCTTTTCCATCTCATTTGGATTATCAAGCAGCATTTTACATGGCCTAAACATCTGGGCGTTCTGGACACCCAGCTTCCCTCCCCTTTTCTTGAATTATATCCCTGTGAACTCACTGGCATTGCTCCGGACTCTGTGGTCCTTTCTGTCGTGGCATCAATGCCAGTGACTCCCCAGTAACCATCTCCAACCCAGATTTCCCTGAACTGCAGACCCTTCCAATTGCCTGCTAAACACTAACCAGGCTATTCATGTGGAGAACCAAACAGTTACATCCTCACTACCTTAATCTCCCAAACTACCCTTAATATCCTTTCTTATCTCTCTTTGATCTTTCTACTCGCCCACACCCAGAATCTCAGTCCAAGATCCTGGGAGTAATTGGTGACTTCTTTCTCTTGTTGAAGCTATCAAAATTTACATCCAATCCAAGAACAAATTTTTCTGTGCTTTCTTCAAAATAGATTAATAAACAAAGTCCTTCCCATGCTCCGAATCACATTCTCCTGATGATGAGATTGCTAAAGTCAAGGCCCTCATCACCATCATTGGATCACAGGGATAAGTGAAGTAGTTCCTTATTGGCCTCTGCATTTGCCACTCCCCATTCAGTCCCATCCACCCCAACCCCGCCAGACTCAGACCCCATAATCACAGCAGCCTTCTATTAAAAAACTGCAAGGCTTCCCTTCTGCTTAGAAGTATAGACGGACCCCAATCCTTCTCACCCACCACACTCTTCGCCTCACAGGTTCTACGAAACCTTTATTCCTTCTGGTATGCTATCAAGGGAGGGCCTCCAGAGTAGAGCCAGCACTACTTGCTACATAATACATGCTTTTGAAAAGTTGTGTTGCAAGGGTGGAGGGATGACTCAGGGGTGAAAGTGCTTGCCGCCCAGACAGACGTGTGAGGCCTGGCGTTCAGATCCCCAGAACCCCAGTAAACACAGGGTGGGCCTGGAAGCCCACTGTAATTCTAGCCTTGACAGGCAGAGCTGGGATGCTCAGAGCAAGCTGGCTGTTGACTAGCCAGCTCAGTGAGCGCTGGGTTTGAACAATAGGTTCTGCCTCCTTGAATAAGATGAAGAGTAATTGAGGATGATTCCCAGCCTCAACCTTGGACTTCCATATGTGTGTGCACACACGTACCCACACACAAAGAGACGCACACACACATACATACACACACACACACACACACGCGCGCGCGCAAAAAGAAAAAAAGAAAGAAAAACATTGTCTAGGGCTAGAAAGATGGCTCAGCAGTTAAGAGCACTGCTCTGCTCACAACCATCTGTAGTAAGATCTGGCACCCTCTTCTGGCCTGCAGGCATATGTGCAGACAGAACACTGTATACACAGAATAAATTTAAAAATCTTAAAAAAAAAATAGCAAGCCAGATGTGATGGTGCACACCTTTAAAAAAAGAAAAAGGAAAAGCATTGACTAAATTGTTCAGCCATGCTGCATCACAGCAGAGGGCAGCTGGGACATGCCCAGGAAAGGCCATCTGACTATTGCAGAGTTCTCTGTATAGGAGTGAACTAGGAAACATACTAAATATCCACTGAGTAGGAAACCAATACATTGTGACACAGAATGGGTGTCTAAAGGACAACAAAATGACTGTCCTAGAGCTACATGGATGAACATGATTATTCTCAGGCAAAACTTACTGTTAGAACTGGAAATGCTCTAAGGTAGTAGCATGGTTGTCAGGCATGCAGGATGCCCTGGCTGTGATACCCAGCACTATCTAAACTGGGTACAGAGGAGAATTCCTGTCATCTAGCACTGAGGAGGTCGGGTCAGAGGAATCAGGAGCCTTATTTATTTATTTATTTATTTATTTATTTATTTATTTATTTTTGCGGGGAGTGGGAACACAGTTTCGAGGCAGGGTTTGTGTAACAGCCCTAGCCGTCCTGGAAATCGCTGTGTAGACCAGGCTGGCCTCGAACTCATGGAGTTCCACCTGTCTCTGCCTCCTGAGTGCTGGGATTAAAGGTGAGCACCACCATGCTCAGCTGAGAATCATCACTTTAAAGACATCTTTGTCTACATAACAACTTTGAGGCTAGCCTGAGATACTTGAGACCCAATCTCAAATAAACAAATAATTTCATGTTGAATTAACAAGTACCTATAGTTATCTGTAAAATTCTAACTGGTTTACATATAATTTAAATAACATAGCATTTAAATAAATTTTTATGCATTTATCGGCAGTAAACACTCAAAAATATGGGTGAAGAGATTCACAACTACCTCAGGACAACAGTGACCTTCAAAGAATGTGGAGAAAGAAGGAAAGCTCTTTCAAACAGATCCCAAACACTTTTTCTTTCAAAATAAAAGTTATAAAATAAATAAGTCAAAAAACTTAAGACTTGGTTCATCTGAGCTTCGTCAAGGCATTTTCTCCCTTTTTTTGCCCACAAATAAGTATTTATCCTATTATCTTTGACTTCTCTATATGTTTCAAACAGCCCAAGATGTTTTAAATCAATAAAAAAAAAAAATTTAAGTTTCAAAAAAGTGAACCATCTGGAAAAGACCCATTGGCTTGGAAGCAGCTGCTTTTGGATACAGGGCATAATCTACAGTGGGGCGTGGCACGAGGAACCGCCTCATTGCTGGGATTGTTCAGCCGATAAGTCTTTGCAACGCACAGGTGTGGATTTTCGGTTAAAGGAGAAAAAAGGAAGTCCTCCCTGGCTGACTGGATTGCCGCCCTCAGCTGCGTGGCAGGGACAGCAGAGGCAATGGCTGTCTCTCGGCAGGCACAGAAGTCACAGCACAGATGCTGAAGTCAGAGGTTCATTGAAACCTACCTGACCCACCCAGAACACAATTTGGTAAGGGTCACCGTTTCAGAACTGGAAGAAACGGGGGAGAGAAATGCTCTGTGCTCTGTTTTTGAAGAGGAAAGTGGGGTACAAGGGCCAAGCACTAGGATGGGTATTAAGTTCTGGCTCAAAACACAAAGACCAATCTCGATTTAAAGCCGTTCCACCCTTTGTGACATCCAGATGACTTCCCAGTTTTTCTATGAATATAAAAATAAAAAGCATTTATTAGCTTCAATTTCTTTATTCCATATGGAAAATATAAGGAAGGAACCAGAAATGACCTGATTGTGATCACATACGTTGTTATACCAAAAAAGTACAATATTGATCTTAGAAGAATGCTTTGATTGACACATGTCGACCAAGAAAGATAATTTTAGGAAAAATAAAAAATATGTGATAATCTTGCCTTAATTTTTTTCAAAAAACTTTAAGATAGGCTGTCCATATGCAGCTCGTGCTGGCCTCAAGTTTGCTGTGTGGCCCTGGCTGATCTCAAGCTTGCAATTCTTCTGCCTCGCTCTTCTGTGTTCTAGACTTAGAGACATGCCCATCATCCCCACCTCCAGCATCTTGCCATTTTTGTAACAAGAAAAGAGCTGTCTATGTATCTATGTCTTTATACCAGTAAAGAAGAGCTACAGTAGAATCCATACACTTAAAATGATAGTGAAGTCAGGCAGTGGTGGTGCACGCCGAGCAAGATGTTCTCAAAAATTAAAAATTTAAAAAGGGTTAGGAGTGTAGCTTATGTTTAGCATTAATAAATCCCTAGTACTGCCAAAGTAATGATGATGAGAAAGAATACGATGATAATGCAGAAGATGAAGAAGATGATGATGATAAAAAAAGAAGATGATAATAATGAAGAAGAAGAAGAAGAAGAAGAAGAAGAAGAAGAAGAAGAAGATGATGATGATGATGAAAGTAACATTAAAGGGACAAGAATGAGGTTGTTGCCATTTTCTTTAATTTTGCATTTATAATTTATTTAATTTTTAAATAAAGGCATTCCCGTTTATTCAGTTGAGACCGAATACATAATATTCATGTGTCCAAATTCACTGATGGGCATAAAAGATTAGGAATAAAAACTGGAGGGGTATACAAAATCATGCATTATTTAATTGTTACAAAATTCAAAGGAATGATGTATTCTCACCAAAATTTTTTTCAAAGAAGTTGACATGCTTTTGTGAAAATCAGACTCAAAGATTAGTAGAAAATCAGCGGCTTTTTTTTTTCGGACAAAGTTTAGAAAACTATCCCATTTGATTAAAAAAAAAATAAAACTTTCTCTTCCGAAAAGATGCATTTCAGATAGTTGATAAGTGTCATACAAAAGTTAGTGACCGATACAGCCTGGTGACAACCAGCGGCAACCAGGGTTTGAGGGCTCAGAATAGACAATGCCAACATCGTGGTGGACCAGGTAAGATTTTCAGCTCCATTTAATAGTCTCAACATGAGAGAAAAACAAACAAACAAAACAAAATTAACAGAAGCCACTGAAAATACCTTAACTAGTTTAGAAATCCAAGAGCATCAGTCTTGAATATCTCCACTTGGAGCCACTCGGAAAGATCTTTCTCATTTTGTAACAAAGAGGTCACTTAGCCCCAAAATAATCACACAGAAACTGTATTAATTAAATCACTGTGTGGCCCATTAGTTTTAGCTTCTTATTGGTAACTCTTCTATTAATTTAATCCATTTCCATTAATCTGTATATTGCCACGTGGCTGTAACTTACCAGGTAAAGTTCCCAGCGTTTGTCTCCAGCAGCTCCATGGCATCTCTCTGACTCTGCCCTTCTTTCTCCCAGCATTCAGCCTAGCTTTCCCTGCCTATCTAAGTTCTCCCTTGCTATAGGTCCAAAGCAATTTCTTTATTCATTAGTGGTAAGCACAGCACACAGAGGGGACTCCCACATCACTCATTTTTCCATAAAAGAAAAAAAAAGCAGTAAGCTTTCTAGTAAAAGTCAACTGTCTATACTAAAATTAAGAACATCTGGTTGGTGAAAAATCTCCTTAAATACACAAAGTCCTAATCTAAGGGGTTTTGTTGTTGTTGTTTGCAATTTCCCAGAAATGGACAAGCAATTCTTCAAAGGAAAAGAACACACATAAATGGAAGTTTTACAAGAAAGTGAGAACATCTTACAAAAAAAGAGGGGGGTGGGGAGAGAGAGATCAGGGAGTTCAAGGCCAGCCTGGACTTCAGGGCTAGTTCCAGGACAACCAGGACTACACAGAGAAACCCTGTCTCCAATACCACACCAACACCCCGCCCCCCCCAAAAAATGGTGATCAGATAAAGGAATGTTAAGATATGTGGCACTTTATATGAAATGGACTGGCAATATCAGAAAGGTCAGCAGCATCAAATGCTGAAAAAAGAAAGAAGCCCCATAAAGGAGGCAGTCCTCATTCAAAAGAAAAATCTAGAAAACAGGAAAAATGAATCTGTATAACCCACAGTCCCATCCTGGACACGTATGGCAGAGAACTATCCCAGAAAAGGATGTTTGCTATGGCCTGAAGTGTGATTCCAAGGAGCTGGGGGCTCAGACATCCTCCACTTAAGGCATTGTGTGTGTAAAATTCATCTGATGACAGTATGGGGCACCCCCATAACAGATCAGAGCAACAGAAGATCTAGAAGGCACCTGGCTAGATAATCACTCATTCTGAGTGAAGACAGAATGGCTGTTGCATAACATCATCTAGGTACAGTAAAAAGCACACACACTAGAAATATATCTTATAATGATATTCATGTTCAAAGACTACATACATTCAATGGATGCTAACAGGAGAGAGGCCATGAAGGACAGAGGACCACAAAACTAGAGAAGTGTGTGCTTGGGTGTGGCCTGAATGTAGATGCAAGGAGGTGTGTACCAGTTATTGGCTGGCATCCTAGAAGAATGGGTGTACAGGGTTGCATACACAACTACCGTTATCCATGTAATATCACCCCACTTGTCCACCAGGTCCTCGGGATATGTATCCTCACTTGTTTATTCCCCTGTATCTGAGGCTCCCCATCAGGAAATGGGGGAGCAAGCTACGTTCCCAGGCCCCAAGTGAGAATTAAAGTAACCCTTGGAACCAGTATGGCACCCAAATGCAACTTTCATTCAGTTCAACTCACTCACTATGTGCAAAGTTTCGTAGAACAGGTATTTGATGAAGCAAAAGGCAATAGCAGAGGGGATATTGTAGAGAACTGAGATCCCTTCTCTCTGTTCCAGGGGCTACCACACACTGCACAAGCAAGCGTGCAACCGCCACAGGTTGCCTAAGGCAGCCTCAGCCACACAACTACCAAGCCATTAACTGCTTAAGCCTGGGATCAAAAAGAGACAGGTCAAAGGTCTCTTGTTTGGTTTTACCTCAACTTCATAAATTCTTAGCATGTGAATGCCATATTTTAAAAGAAGATTGTGACCCGTAAAGGGAAAAGGAGAAAACTAGACTTAAACACATCAGTCAGAGACCCACTGTTTCTAAACTGCTTTCCCGAATTTGAATCATGTACACATACATATTTACAAAAGTAATTCCTACTAATGCATATATTTAGTTAGTTTTCCCGCCCTTAATCATTTGGACCCTTATTAAAGAAAGCCTTGCTATATGGCCTTCATTGAAATAAATCGTGTTTTTTGATATAGCTGACCCGATTGTTTGGCATTACTACAGGTCATGTCATTAATCCCTGATTGTGGGGTATCCAGTGTGCTTCCGGCTACCCACAATATAAGTAGTTAACACACACACAATTTGTTTTCTCAGGACAATATATTTTTCATGCCAAAAACAGATGTGCAATCCCCAAGCCAAAGAGAATGAACTTGATCTATATTTTCAAGTTGACCTTCTACAAAGTGTGGTCTGTTTGATTGATTCCTTTTGTTACTGTTTTTAATAACATCCCACTCCCACCGATGACATGGTCAAAGATTTGCACCTAACTTAGAATCTGGGGATCCCACAGTGCAGCCCAGGAGACCCCTTCCGTAGGACAATGATGTGCTTTCCCGGTGTTTCTGAAGGAAGGCAAGGGACCCGGCGTTGTGCCTGGACCACCGAGCTGGGACAGCTGAGTTCGCCACAGGTCAGGTTGCAGTTGGGCCGGGCCAGGCGTAGGCGGGCGGCCCGGGGCGGGGCAGCTCGGCCGGTCCCTCCCCTGCAGCCGCGTCCCCGCCGGTCCTGCCGACGTGGCGGGGCGGGACCCGGGGCTCCGGCGCGCACTCGGCGGCCAAGCGGTAAGAGCACGGGGCGCCTTCTCCCCATCCCTTCCCGGGCGGGCGGGGACCCGAGCGCCGCGACCCTTGTTCTCTTTGGGTCGCGAGAAGCCTGCAGCGGAAAAGTGGTCCAGAAAAACCCGCTTGCTTGGGGACGAAGGTCGGGGGAGACGCGGGCGACGCGGCCGAGGGCCTTGAGTGGGTGCGGGCGTGTGAGTGTGTGTGTGTGAGTGTGTGTCGCTCCGTGTCCACGCTCATGCACACACCCACAAGCCCGCACGCCGGGTCTGCACCCTCGTCCCGCCTGGAGCTCCGCGGAGCCGGCTGCTGGAGTCTTGGCACAAGCCAGTCTGAAAAGTTTCGCCAAGTGTCCCAAGTTGGGGAGCGAGCGGTGGGGTCTTCCCAGGGCGAAACACTGAGTGATCCGGTCCCTGCAAGGCAAAGGCCTCCATCCCTAGGGTGTGCCTGTCCTTGCCCTCGGAAAACGGAGCTCAGGCCTTGGTCTCCATCCTGGTCCATCACCCCTCCCTGGCGTGCCCCCCAGCATGCCTGCTCTCCTGCCCAAGCAACATCCTGGGTTCTCCTCTTGGGTTCCCTCTTCCCCACCCCAAATGCAGTCCTTCTACCCATTCGGCTTTTCTTCTCCAAGGAATCTGGTGAGTATTTCCCAGCCATCAGTCAGCGCCAGAATTCCACCGGCTTTTCTTAAAGGAGGACTTTCTGCAGATTGTAGGAGCATTATCTCGGCCGTAATAGTTTCCACCCTGAACCTCTTGATTGAAGCAGATGGGTTTTTAAATCAGCACTCCTTGAACTCCTCCCTGCGACTCCCCAGCTCAAGGGTCATCCTGAGAGGCCTCCCCAAGCTCTCTGGGCTTCCTAGAGACTCCTTCCTCCCCAGCCCCTATCCCTAGGCTCTCTCCTGAGATGTTCTGATTAACTTCTTACATTGAAAGCCTTCAGCGAAGGAATGAAGGGTGAAATTTGAAGCACAAGTGAGCCCCTGTAGAAGGAATTCGAGGGGGGGGGGAGAGGAACCTCCCTTAATTTCGGGGATTCAGACGAGTAAGTAGCTATTTCTTTCATCAGACCAGGCTTATGTGAAACATCACTTCTTTTAAATCAATATCAAACGCAGTATATTTCAGTCCAGTAAATATTTGTGGGTCAGAATGAAGTAAGGTCCTGTGCCTCACAGCAAGGCCTGAAGGATGACAGGAGAGACTTCTAAAGGCAATCGAGAAGTCTGTGAAAGTCTCAGGACAGAGACAGAGGAGCAGTTCATTGTTGGGAGAGTGTGGAGTACACAAAGAGCAATATCGAAGTTAAGGGTGACATTAGATGCTGGGTAGCGAAGGGACTGGGAATTAGATTGACAGGAAGACATGACATCAGTGGTGGCAGCCAGCCTGAAGGTTTAAGAGCAGTGTGAGTAGGGAGGGCCAGTGTGAGAAGTCAGAAGTGCAGGAAGCGTTGAGGTGCAAGAGATAGGGTGGTCTTGGATCAGGAAGGGCCACAGAATACCCGTAGTGGTATTGTGTGTGTGAGTGTGTGCGTGGGGGGGGGGGTATTTGACCTGCATATGTGTATCTGTGGGCTTTGTACATGCAGCGCCCGTGGAGGCCAGAAGGTGGCATTGGAGCCCCTGGGGCTGGACTTACAGAGGGTTGTGAACTGCTATGTGGGTGCTGGGAATCCACCCCTCCCGGAGACCTCTGGAAGAGCAGCCAGTGCGCTTAAACACTGAGCCATATCTCCAGCCCCGCTTGATTTTTAAGTCAAGCAAATATAGGTCTCCTCTCTGGTTCAGGAAATGCCCGTCGAGTGTAGAGACAGGCCTCGGGGCTCAGTGTGCGCACCGTGAAAACCGGACAGGTCTGGGAGCCTCTTTTGTGAAGGAAGGGAGGCCACCTGGGACAGAGGTCACGTTACCACATTTGCATCTCACCAAGTGAGCTCATTCAGACAATAAGCCACCTACTGTCGGTTCGGGACAGTTTAAGACCAAGAAAAGCGTGGCCGCTAAATGGCGCGACGAAGGCGGAGCATTACTTTGAATAAATTTAGATTTAGGAGAACCTTAAAACCCTGCCCTGATTTTTCACTGCAGTCAGGACTTGGGAACAAAGTTCCCAGATCATGTTATCCGCTCCAGCTCCACAGAAGAGGGAGCAGGAAGCCCAGTGCGAACGAGCAGCGCTGTTTGCCTACAGTCCGACAAAGGCCCCTGCCTAGCCCTTCCCACTGCAGAATGTTCCTTACTGTTCCTCCATGCAGCCACACCTGTGTAGCCTCAGCCACACAGGCGTGCATCCTGATTGCCGAGAGCTCATTTCTCATCCTAGGTATTTGTGCGTACTCCCACCGCCTGAACACGTATGCCAAGCCGGGGTCACGATTCTCCCTTGTGTTAGTTCAGGGGTATTGTTTATGTATTACGCTATTTTACAGAGTTTTCTTTCCATCTTCCCTTCCTTCTTTTAATTCGATTTTCTTTTTTCTCAGTGCTAGGAATCAAACCCAGTGCCTTGCATGTGCTGGGCAAACACTCCCGCACTGAGCCACCCTCCACCCCTGGACGGCTTTTTAATGCTTTGTCTTAGCCCCTGGCACCTTTCTCATTTCCGAAATCTAGCCCGTGCCTTCTGCCCTCACTTGGGGTGCTGTGATATAGCTGTTCTGATGGGCCCAGGAGCATTTTAGGTGATGAATACATTTGCTCATGAAAAACTAACTTATTCCCACCCTACAAAGACTTCATTATGTGTCCTACCCCACCCCTCCTTGGAGCTTCCTGAAGCAGCCTCCTTGTTTCTGTGGGTCAAAGCCACGGACACAGATGGCTGCAGAGATCAGTGTTCCAAACCAAAATCAGAAGAGACTTCCGAACTGTGCAGATAGGAAGTGATGTACCTCTCCGGGACACGTGGTCCACACTACAGCTGTGTCCCGTGCGCTTCACGAGTCCCTGCTCAGAAACAGCTGTCCATCTAGAGCACAGTTCAGCTAGCTTCAGGCTTCGGAATTCTGCAGTCAGCTAGGAGCTCTAGAAAAACCCGACTCCGAAGGCCCACGAGCTACTGACTTGACATAATCTTAGGCCCTAGGCATGGAAGGACAGGGAACACCAGTGCGTTATTTCCGCCAGGAGCACATGTCTTAAGGGCTTGTTGTGTCATGTGGAAATGGATTTCTACCTTTATGCAATTTGACGTACCCTAAAGCATGCGTCCAAGAGGATGGCAGCTGAGATCTCTCAAAGGACAGACACCCCGTGGTAAACTTTGAATGCTTACTAAAGACCTCTGGATATTGTGTCCCTGGACAGAGCAACATAGGTATTAGCATGCATCAGCATGCAGGTCGTATGACATATGTCACAGTATGTTAGAATGTCTGTAAGTGTTATAATACCATAATTAAGACATCACGAAAGTGATCCATTGTGGTTTTCATTTGCCCATTAATGTTTATCATGGCCACATTTGTTCTCATATTCCTGCTTACAGAAAAGTTAAAATTGCTGTACATGGTGATACACGCCTTTAATCCCAGCAATTGGGAGGCTGAAGCAGGCACATTGCCATGAGTTTGAGGCCAGCCTGGTCTACATAGCAAGTTCTAGGCCAGTCTACGCAGTACGACGCTGTTTCAAAAAGAAAGAAAGGGGAAAGAAAAAGCTAAAAAACAAAACAAAAAAAAACCTAATTGGTGCTTCTTAAAGATCCAGACTAATAATAGGGGTGTTCAAATTAGTTTATGAAAAAATAAAGGTCTCAGATAAAGCCTGTGACCAGCTATAGTTGAAAATAAATAAATAAAAAAAACAAACAACAACAAGAAAAAAACAGATAAAGATGATGTTTGTGTGTGGATGTGCTGTGTCTTCTTGAAAGATTGTCTCTAGAAGACTGGGCAAGAAGGCAAGGGTAAGAAAGAGAAATCTCTAGGCGCCCAGGTCCAGGCTAGTGTTCTCTGTGCAAGCCTCCACTGTAAGTATTTCTGTCTCAGTTTCTTTGCAGCCTCGTGGTCTGTGTTGCGTCTGCAGTGATTTGCTGTTATGGAGAAACAGTAGCTGCATGTGAATAGGAAGGTTCATCTGTGGTCAATAAAACTTTATTTACTCGGGCAGGGCAGGGCGAAGGGCAAGACTGGAGCAGCAGGTTGTACTTTGGCAGCCTCTTACCTAGGCCAGGCCCAGCTCAGGAAGTTTTCGTTACCAGCTTCTAAATGACAATACCTTTTCAGGTGTCCCCTGCCTGCCAGTCCAGACGCCTTGACTGCCCACAGCCCACAAACCCTGCCTTAGACTTCACACACCAGCTTGAGCAAAGCGAATAACCTTTGCCTTTCCTGTCTGCAGTCTTGCTCACAGGAGTGCTGAAGTCGCAGAACAGAGTTTGGCTTAAAAAGAGAATTCCAATTTAATTTTAGAGTTTATATTTAAAATCCATTTTCCTTGCGAGGCTCGTGTGCTCACAGCTTAGCCCTTCACGTGGCACTAAAGGGAGGCGGGAACTTGAGAAGTAGGGCCCCGTAGAAGGAATTCCAGGCATCAGGAGTGCACTCTGGAAGGAGAGAGTGAGACTTCAGTTCTGTTTTGCTTCCTGACTATGAAGTGAGAGGTTCTGGCCACCAAGTGACATCCGTTATTGTTATGAAGTGTGACTTCACTCAGAAGTTAGGGACTAAGCAGGCATAGGCCAAACCCTCCAAAGATGTGAGTCAAGATAAACCTTTCGTCTTCATAGGCTGACTCTCTCCGGCGCTGGCTGTAGTGACAGAACACAGCTGAGAAGGAACATCTCATCATAGAGTCATTTGAAACCACCCACCATAAAAGAGCACTGGCATTCTCTACACAACCTTAAGTGTTGAGCATGTTTTGAGCTTCCCAACATATGCAGAAAACACACAAGTAAAATATTTTGAAAAATCAAGATCTTCATTGAATTTGCAGAATAAGAACAATGCCTAGAGTAACTGTAATCAGATAGTTCTAATTACCCATGATGCCGTAGAAGCAAAGCACTCCCGGAATAAGAAGAAACAGTAAATCTGTTTGGGAGACACAAGGAAGGAAGCATGTGATGGTTTTACCTGGACTTTAAAAATATAAGCAAAGCAATACATTTACCCAATTCAGAGAGAATAAGCACTTAGCAGACTTCTTATCTGGTTGATCAGCCATTATGAAAGCCCATAGCGTCATACAAGCAAGCCCTCATAGATATTTTCTTTGCTTGTCCTGCCTGTCACGGTAACTACGTACAGCTCACCTGGCCTTTGGTGAGTCTATGCTGCTCTGGCAACCAGGCTACTCTAGGCCAGGTTAACCCATTACATTTAATTCATTCCAACTGAACAGCGGAGTCTTCAACCCTGGAGTTTGGTGAAAGAGAAGAGCAAAGCCGTGCGCGTGCGCTGGTCCCTCTCATCGTTTTGGGTCTTAGAGTTGGTGAAGGGTTCGTCTTCAGGACCCTCCCATTGTGGATGGAGGAGTAGGTTTCAGTAGCCAGCTGCAGTCTGTTGTGAATGTCTCGTTTCGTGTTTGGAAAGGTATAGTAGGAGCTAATCCTAGTGGGATCAGCGTGCTGGTCCTCAGATGCCGGCAGGAGTGTGGCTGCACTCAGTGCGGCTAGGGATAGGGAGTCTCTGAGATGTAGACAGCAAAGCTGTGTAATTAGGAGGCAAAGTATGTGGATTTGGGGAATGGCCAAAGGGGAGAAGGAAAACCCAAAGGTGAAATCACAGCAGGCCCACAATGAAGTTCTGGCGGTGAATAAGTAGGAAAGTGGGCATGGCTTCTGAACACCAAAGACTCTGATGGGGTTCAATCTCAAGGTCACACATTTCTCCAACTGTAATTCTGTCAGCTACTGAAGGCGTGCCCTCTACGCCTCAGTTTTCTGGTCTGGAAAATGAAGCTCAGTGTATCTAATCCACAGAAAGCAATACATTTGCATACCCTGGCTACTGTAAGCACTCAGTAAATCATAGCACTGGATGTTTTATATTCTCTTTCTTAATTTACAATTTATTAAAATTTTATGCACAAGGATTTTATTTACAACATTCCCACCATCATCACACCCTCCAACTCCTTCCATGTTCCCCGTTGCCTCAAATTCATGACCTGGTCTTTAATGATTGTTACATGTATATGTACGTATATGTGTGTAACTATGGATACACATGTGTATAAATGAATACACATTTAGTACTGCTCATATGTGTATTTGTTTATGGCTGACCGCTTGGGTTTAGGTAACCTATCGGAGTCTCCTCTCAGCAGCCACTAGTCACCTGTAGCTCTTCATTTAGGGGCGGAGCCTTGTGAGATTGCTCCCACCCACTTCAGCTTGTCAGCTGGTGTTGTCGTAGTCATTAGGCAGGTCTTGATCAGATGACTATATTGTTAAAATTTCCCTAACATATGGAAGACACCACCTCACAGCAGACGTTCTGGTTCTGTGGATCTTACGATCTTTCTGTCCTCTCTTCCACGGTGTCCCTGAGCCTTAGGTGGAAGAGTTATGTTGTAAATGCATTAGCTGGGGTCAGGCACCCCACAGACCGGTTTTGGTTCTCTGAAATGATCTTTGTCTGCTGCCATGATGAAGGGCAGGGGCTGCTTACCTGTGGACAGAAGGATAAGGATTTAGAATGCAGCTTGAAATTGGGCTGGCTTAGGAAAATGTCAGTAGTGATGTTCTTTAGAGTCTGTGCCTTCAATATACTATGTATTCTTAAGAAGGTGAAGGTTTCCTGGACGATAGCACTGAGATTTTCAGCATGTTATTGGCAGAAATATAGGATTTGTTGTGAGAAACACACAAGACAAAGAGGCCTGCCGTTAAAAATAAGACATGGACAGAGATTTAGTTGGCTACTAGAATTATTTATCTGGCTGTAGACCTTTCTCTATGTCAGCATATTAAGCTATAATTCACAGATCATAAAATTCACACTGTTTTTAGGCATTGTGGTCAGTGTTTTTTGGTATATTTTACACACCTATACAACCACTGCCACTACTCTTGTTCCCTCCGAGAGGACCCTTCAGTAGCTGTCACTTCTCCTTCCCCTTTCTGTGAGCCTCTAAAACCAAAGCTAACCAATTCCATGTCTGTGGAATGGGAACAGGAGTTTGAGAGCCACAACAAGATCTTAACTGTTACAAAGGACAGTGGAGCCATGCGTGTCTGTAAGTCCTTGCGTGTGTTTGATGACTCCGCAAAACTAATAGCACCTTTTAAACAAGTTCACAGATACATTTTTTATTCTTTAGAGAAAAGTTAACTAATTCATTCATTCATTCGTTCTTTCATTTGTTGTGGAGACTTCCCACTTGTAACAATTCACTTGTGGAGTCAAAGGACCACTTGGCAGGAGTAGGTTCTTTCTTGCCACCATGTGGGTCTGGGATAAAACTCAGACATTCTTTGTTCTTTTGTTTATTTTTTTTTGTTTTGACTTGTTTGTTTGTTTTGAGACATGATATACCTATAGGCAGCCCAGGCTGGCTTCAAAATCATCTTCTAGATCAGAAAACCGAGGCTTAAAAGGTACACTTTCAGTAAGCAATAAGATGGAAGTTTGAACCTTGTACAATTTTGAGACTGAATCCCATCAGAGAGCCCTGTCTGCAGTGCTGGCTCTCTCTTCCAACAGACTCCATGACTTACACAACACACATTTGCCGTTTAGAGGTCAGATATGGATTTCCCCTGGGCTTGGATCAAGATGGCGGCGGGGCTGGTTCCTCCTACACTCTGGAAGGGAAGAATGGTTTCCTTGACTTCTTCAGCCCTTCGTTGCTGCCTCAGTCCTTGGCTTGTGCCCCTCCCTCTGTTCTCAAAGTAAACCCCTTCAGGCTCTGCTCCTGGCATGTCACCTTCTTCTCCACATGTCACCTTCTTCTCCATCATATACAACCTTCTTTTGTTCACTCTGGTGAGGACACTTGTGACGATGAGGAACTTGTGACTACAGTTAGGGTCACTCAGAGAAATGAAGACAGCTTTCCCATGCCAAGATCCTTAGCAGCAACCAGAGTTCCTATTGCCATGTAAGACAGCAGCAACAGGGACCCGAGTTAAAAGGTAGATATCTTTATAAGCCATTAATCTAGCTACGTAAGATCACATAGTTACTTCTTGATCGACGGGAGCTTGCCCTCACTTGGCATAATTGAATTGAATGAATGTTGCCAACACAAGTGTTTGTGATCCCCTTGACAGATATTAAAATGTCTGATGATGCCAGTGACATCATAGCCAATGAAGTCAGAGAAGATGCTTCGGGGATTCCCCGGGGTGACTCCCCAGCTGAAGACAGAGACGTGCAGTGTGGTCCAGCTACGACTTCAGATGAGCCAGTGTCAGCTGACCACACCGGAGAGCAGCATGAAACCACAGCTGCATGTGAAGAGACTGCGCCTACAGGGCGTCTAGAGCAGGCCAAGATCAGTGATGCCGAGGAGGCCCCCCTCGATGGAGAAGTGACCGAGGACACGCTGGCTGAGTGCATTGATTCTGTAAGCCTTGAGGGAGATACTGGATCTGACATTCCTCTGAAAGAACAGAACGATGAGGTAAGAGTCACCATGGTTTTTGTTTGTTTGATTGGTTGGCTTTTGTTTTTTTCGAGACAGGGTTTCTCTGTAGCGTGCTTAGATGTTCTGGAGCTAGCTCTTGTAGAACCAGGCTGGTTTCAAACTCATGGAGATTCACCAGCCTCTGCCTCCCGAGTGCTGGAATTAAAGGTGTGAGCCACCACCGCCATGCAAGAGTCACCATGTTTTAACCTAAACTCTTTCTGTTACCCAATCTCTGGCTGCTAGCTGTTGCTAATAACACAATGTCACAGATTGTGTTAAGTTCTCAATAAAAGAGGTTTATTCTGATTCACAGCTCTACAGCAGGGATGAGGGTTATATAAGATGATGGCCTTCTTGCAGGAAGTGACCCAAGGTAACTCAAGGCATCGCTTTACAAGAGATAAGTTGTGCACGAGAGACCTTGGCGACTGGTTGTTAAAGCTGCCCATTCCCAAGCTAACCGACTGAAGTACTGAGCCCATGAATGAGTTCATCCATTTATGATGGCAGAGCCCCATCACCTGTGTTTGTTTGTTTGTTTCGAGGGCTGGTTATCAAACTGGGTCTCTCCAATTCTAGGAAAGTTCACCACCGCTGAGCTACATCCTTGATTTTTTTAGCTAGTCCTTAAAGGTCCTACTTCTTACTATCTGATGGGAATTAGATTCCAGCGTAAGCTTCACAGAGAAGTTCAAAACCATATTTGGAAGAGGTACCATATCAACCCACAAGGGCACCCTTTGAGCCAAATTCTGCCGCTGGGACTTGAGAGTTCACAACGTGCTGTGACTCTGCACGTGCCTGCTGTGTGGTGGGAAGGAAGACATTCAGAAAAGGAACTTGTGGATCTGATTTTGTGTTTTGATCCTTGTGTTAAGAATCATGACAGCCATCAATTACTGGACATGGTCTGTATGCCAGGAGCTCTGCTGGCCTCCCAACATGCTGTGCGGTTCACTCATGCGATGGTTCAAAGCTAGGTATTTCTGACTCCAGTTGATGGGTGAGGCACCTAAACTCAAAGACAACAAGCAGCTTGTCCTGGACTGCTCAGTGGTTAACAAAAGATACAGTGTTAGCCTTAATAATCCCAAATGATAAGCACCAGGGGTCTCTGCAGAACCCCTGGAGTTCTGCTGCATAACCAAAGGTCCACTATGGGTCTTCTGCGTTTAGATCGCAAGTCTGTTATCACCTGTCACCTTCCTGGGAAGCAGAAGCAGAGCTCACTTGGTGCCCCTCCCTACAGTGCCTGCACTTGTCCCTCTGTAGGTAGGACAAGCTGAGCCAGTGTCTCCCTGTGGGTACCTTGGTTTTTGTAGAGAGAGGGGGTTTTGAGACAAGGTTTTGCCATGTTCCCCAGGCTGGCTTTCAATTCATCCTCCCACCTTAGCCTCCCGAGTGCTAAGATTATAGGCATTCCTTGTGCTCCAACAACATGGCCATCTAAGCTTTATTTCCTGGTGCTTTCCCTGCAGGCATGGCACAGGACAGGAAGATGAGCTGTTTGGGTGATCTAGAATGATGGTACAAGAGAGGATCAGGGCTCAGCTTTCACCAAGGACTAGCCTCATTAATCTCAAGGTGCGCACCTCAAATCCCTTAGAAGTGTCTGAGTGTAGTGTTCCAAGAATAGACATGAAACAGGGAACCAAGAAGTCTGACCATCCATTTTCCAGTTTGTTATTAACTGTGTCGTTTGGTCAAGAAATATCAATTTTCTTTGTCTCAATTTTTTACTCTATAAAATGAGGGCTTTTCACATGAAGTCTCGATATTTGCTTCCAATGTTTTGTGAATTGTATTCAAGGTGTGGCTTCTTTTTATCATCCTCAAAGGTTTGACTCTCAGACCTGCTCAAAGGTAGTATGAGCTTCCAGAGAGAGGAGAGATTGATCTGTCACTGGAAACATCCAACCTTTGGCAATGCAATAGATTACCTACAAAGTCTACTCTCAAGAGCCACACAATCAAATTACAAAAACAAAAAAACAAAAATAAAATGCAAAGCAGTCTCACAGTATCTTAAGAAAGTCTACAGTTTTGTGTTGAGTTGCACTCATAGCTGTCCTGGTACAGAGTAGACAGGCCTGGAGTTCTAACCAAGCTAAATGGTCATTCTGTGGGGATGGTGTGGAGGAGACTTGAGAGCCAGCTAGGCATTTGGATAAGATATGGAAAATATCCACAAAGCTTATCTCCCCTGAGAGGTCACGTATAAAGTCTTTGAGGCCAGTCATGACCCCCTAAGGACCACAGACTCCCAGAGCAGAGGATCTGAACTCTAGACAAGCATCCCAGTGACCAGGGATGCTTAAAATGAACTGACAACTGAGTGCCACCCTAATGGAGCCTGACTCATGGATGGGGCCTTTTAAGGAGCTTCAGATAGTTCTCACGTTTGTCCAGGATTTAAAATAATTGTTGCAGTACAAAGAACCATGAAGAAACTCTTAATGACTCTTTGAGGAGGTGATCTCTTGGTACCACTTCGGTTCTAAAATTCTGTGGTGCCAGTCCAGTGCTTCAGAAACATCTGAAGAGGAGTGGGTGTTTGGCACAGTGATAGAGCATTTGACTAGCATGGGCATGGTCCAGGAATACGATCCTCAGCACACAAAAATGAAACTAAAGATAATGACATTGAGAGAGAGCAAGTCAACTCATCCTTTCTCTAGGTAGCTTTTTGAAAACTAGTCTTTAAATAGAAACAATAGCCGTAACATACCCAGAGGTAGGAGTGGGACACTGTAGGTGGGGTTTTCTGTCCCTCCAGCTCACTCAGCCAATAGCTTAGGCTGGTTACTAACTAACTCTTTGCGGGGGGGGGGGGGGATTCAAGCTGAAGATAAGAAAAGCAAAGCAATCAAGCTACTAAAGAACTCTTACCTCTATGAAATTTTTAGACTGAAACGAGAGCAAGTTCCTCTCTCATCCGCCTTATATTCCTCTCTAGTGCTGGGATTAAAGGCGTGCACCACCATTGCCTGGCCTCTATGGCTAACTAGTGTGGCTGCTGGGATTAAAAGTGTGTACCACCACTGCCTGGCCTGTATGGCTGACTAGTGTGGCTAGCTTTGCACTCTGATCTTCAGGCAAGCTTTATTTATTAAAACACAAATAAAATGTCCTCTTTTTTTGTCTAAAATAAAAAAGACTATAACAAATATAAGAAAAACTATAAACAATAAGCACAGTAACTATGTCATAAATAATCCATCACTGGTACATGGGCTCACACGAGTCCATGAAATGATGACTCAGAGACACCCTGAGAATGCATTTAGCCTTTGCAGCTGCAGGGGCCTCAGCCTAGGTGGACTGAAGAGTTTTTCCTTTGCCTCTTGGCATCTTTAATTTTTTTCCATATTTACACTTTAGTTAGTAGATTTCCGTATCTCAAAACAAATTGAATGAAGTTTCCGAAAATACAATGCCAGGTACAAACACCTGATTCATGAGGTAACAACTGTTTTCCAGTTTTCCTCTAAAACAAGTTTAGCATAGGCTTTGTATCCATGGGAAACTCTCAGACAAGATTCACATAGGGCAACAAAAGTTATCTGCAACGCAAAGGATGGATTAAAGGCCGAGTGAAAACTCCAGAGCTAGGCCAGGTGTAGCCCAGCGGGGCTTCATGGCTAGAGGAAGTTGCTTGCTATCCCTCCAGCGCCAGGCCAGAGGCATATTATGCCACCGAAAGGGGTTTCCCTTATACAAAATTTCATTATTTCGAAGGTAATGTAGCCTCACAGTATATACAGTCTTTTTCTATCTGTCTTCTTACAATCTTACGTAAGTAGACCAAAACATATTTTAAAACTAGTAAGGCTATTTTTGCTAGGACAAGAGCAACACCTGCTAAAATAAGAGTTCTGTTAAAGCTATTCATAGGGTTGAATGAAGCTACGGTATCTGCAAGACTTTCCATAATATCCATTCCTTTCGTATCGCTTTCGTTGGTTGTCAACCATCACTACATGGTGTGACTTTATTGCTGAAGATACCATACACTTTGGCTATAGAACATAGAGAAATCAATCTCAACTTCCTGGGGAAACTTCTTTCCTGTTGGCTAGCTTTCAGAGTGCTGGAAGTTGCTATGTGAGCTGTTGTGGGAGAGAAGACATTAGTGGTCTCCCTCAGCACTGCACCCTGATTGCTGCAGTACTGACCTGGCAGGCAAGAGGGGCTGCTGGTGCAATAGTGGCATGGGAGTAACCAGAGAAACCAACCACTTTGTGATTTGCTGTGAGGCCTGTTCCACAGGGAAGAATTTCAAGTTTGGTACCATAATCCTAGTGAAAAGCTTATGGCTTAGGCAGTCATAGGCTCTAAGGTAGAACTTGCTATTATTTTGGTAAATGGTCATGCTGTCTAATTGCCTTCAGAATATTTACAATTATTCTTTAGAGTCAGATTTTAACCCTCTGTGTGGGAGCAAATTTAGCCTCACTTAAGGAATTACCAGAAAAGGACATCATAGTGACATTTCATTTATATTTAATAAATAAAGCTTGCCTGAAGTTCAGAGAATAAAACAGCCGCACTGAAAAGCCTTACAAACCAGGCAGTGGTCACACACACCTTTAATCCCAGTAGCCACACAAGTTTGCCATAGAAACTGGGTGGTAGTGGTGCACGCCTTTAATCCCAGCACTAGAGAGAGATATAAAACAGGAAGAGACAACTATCACACACAGTCTAATTCTGAGATTCCTGGAGGCAGGATCACCATTTCAGACTGAAGTAGAGGTAAGAGCCAGTGGCTGGCTATTTTTCTTTTCTGACCTTCAAGTTGAACCCTACTTTTCTGTCTACAGGACATTCTATTCTCTCCCTTAGTTTCTTATCCTGAGTTCCTTAAGTTATTATTAGAAGTGATCAATTTTGTGCGTCATCTTTAAATACTAGTCTTTTATTATATTTGCCTTTTGTTGGCTATTTACAGGAAATCTTTTTGCAATGAAGAAAATAACCATCAAGTCAGATAG